GATGGAGAGGTAGACGATGGAGAGGTAGACGATGGAGAGGTAGACGATCGGGATGAGGAGGGAGAATGTGAGGAACTTCGTCTTGGATCAATGATGCCCAGCAACACCATACCCTTTGTCTTCTTGGGCGACCCCTGTGATATACAGTAAGCGTACGGCGTCCACCAGCCACCTATTTCTGCATTCCCACTGACTTTCACGTCCTCCAGCCAACCTTGACGTCCTCCAACGGGCGGATTCCCTGTCGAACTCCCACTGGTAGTGACCTGCCTTCACCGCCAAATAAATACACGATCTCTGAGAAACAGGACGCGGAGCTGTGGAAAGTCCTCGCATGTGCTCAGACCCTGCACCTGATGAGAGAAAAAGGAAGGAATGTCAGCCTGAGCGAGAATAAATAAGACTGCCACCAAGCCACCTTGGCGGTGGCAGAATTCTGCCCGGAATTCCTGCCTCATTGGGGATGGAATTCTGTCCCCATGACTAGGATAGGTGGTGTGTTGTGCTGTGTATGGGTGAGGCGCCGGCGTGGTGGTTTTCTCTTCCCCTGGCTCTTGTAATTGCCATGGCTTGATCTGTTTCGGTGGCGTACAACGGTCAAGGGGACGACTTTGTGTTTGATATTGACAAGGACTGGGCCGTTGTATAACCAGCCCAAGATGGCACAGACCATCCATGATGGATTGATGGTTCATGTTCAAGTGGTGGTGACTGCGGCGCAAAGGAGAGACGACGAGAAAGGAATGACGACGACCGAGGAGAGACAACGACCGAGAAGAGACGACGACGGAGGAATGAGGACGAGAGAGGAATGAACTGGATATAGATGGCAAAACCAGCAGACCTAGCTCCGACCCCCTGGACCTCGGGGAGTGCTGATCAAAGCGTCGTCGAGGTCAAAGGTCCAGTTTCGAGCCTCGAGTGTGGCCTTTTCCATAGTATCACCGACAATATCCCCTTCCTCTAGTTTAATCAAGGCGTGAGCGGTTGTGGCCTTTTCCATAGGATCACTAACAATGTCCCTTTCCTCCAGTTCAGTTTTGATCAAGGCGTGAGCGGCTGTAAAAACCAGTGTAGTATGATATGAATGCCGCAGTCTGGGACCTTGCTGACTGAGGACTGCGCACCATCCGCTTGCTTCGTTTTGGACACTCTTCTTTCCCAAGCTAAGACCGGCAATACCGTCAACGACGAGATCCTCGCCGGTCAACGTCCCCGTCTTGTCGAAGCAGGCGACTTCCGCACATTCGGGGTATGGGATTCGGAAGGGGTGGTCGGTTCTCCGTCGGACCGAGCAGAGAGGACGAGATCGAGCAGAAAGGACAAGATCGAGCAGAGGAGGATCGAGCAGAGGAGGATCGACAACATAAGGATCGACCAGAGGAGGACAGACCAGAGGAGGGTCGGGCAGAAGAGGATCGACAAGACAAGGATCGAGCAGCGAGGACGAGATCGACCAGAGCGGATGAGGTCGAGTAGAGGTAGAGTAGAGATTAAGTAGAGGAAGATCGAGCAGAGGAAGGTCGAGCAGAGGAGGATGAAGCAGAAGAGGATCGAGGAGAGAGGATGAGATGGAGTGAAGAAGATGAGATCGAGCAGAGAGGATGACATCGAGCAGAGAGGATGAGATTGAGCAGAGGTCGAGTAGAGGTCGAGTAGAGATCGAGCAGAGAGGATATACCCCCAAGCAGCCTGTCACGACAGGTTATTCACCAAGATACCACCCTTCCAGACAAAGATCATCTTACCTGTATGCTCAATGAGCTTCTTGATCCCCAAAAACACAGAATGATTGTCGGTACTGAGATGGCGGCGGCAATGTGTCCTCTGATCATCATTCGCACCTATTCTCCCTGTCGTCTCTCCATTCTCCTCCAGGCAACAGTCCAGCAAAAATGGTATCTTTGCCGAGGGCAAATCGTGCCCAGCTATTGTGAGTCTGACGTCACGACTTTATGATGGTTTCCGGCGCTCGCCGATCTCGCTGGCGATTGAGGCCCTCGCTGTCGCTCTACCGTGATCTCGTCTCTGTATAAACGTCCTCTTTGTTACCGGATTGGCGTATTCTGTAGACCGCGACGTTGTCCACCTGGCCAAACGAACTGCTCTTCTGATTGTGCTTTGAGTCTCTCTTTGCCTGTCAAATCGAGCTCGTCCGTCATCCACTAGGTCCTCTCGAATCTCCTCAATCTTCTGTCCGTTCGTCGTTGATATCGTGAGGTTTGGTCCGCGCTGAATCTCGCTCTGATTCTCGAGGTTTTGATGGCTTGGGACCCAGCTATTGAACGTGATTTGCGGCCCATGGAGCCACCACCGCGGGTGTAATAGAGATCGAGATAGAGGCTCGCTAGGTAGAAAGGCTCGTTTGAGGTAATGGCGACAGGGCAGTAGAAACTGTCTGAGGATGGAACAGTGGCAATCGCCTAGGTCGGCGCTGGCAACCATGAGTTCAGATAGATAAGCCAATGCCATTCATTCCCTTCTGACCTTTCCGAGCGCATAACTAGGATCAGTAAATCGCAGACTTTGAAAGGTCCTACCTAGCCTGATCCTCTCTGGGATAACTCACGCGTGATAGATCCTCAGATTCTTCCATCTCTCTGATCACTCTTCTGGCCATTTTGACAGAGGCGTCCAACGGCGATTTCGTCGCGGGCCTCGCCGGCCTCGTCCGCGCTGAAGCACCTGGGGATGACCACGTAGCCGTGCTCGAGGAAATGCTCGATGTTACCGCGCACGGCCGGGTCCGAGGATAAGGCGCGACGAGCGAAGGTTTCGGAGTAGCAGTCGACCCAGCTGGTTGAGGACTGTGTCGTTGGTGTTGACGTCGGTTGCGCCATGACGGATTTCAAGCGCTAACTGGTCGTTCGTTATCTGAGTAACAACAACGTTGTGACAGGACTCGGATCGCTGCGTCGATCGATGGCCGAGGTCTGGCTGTCCTGCCGTGAACAGCGTGACGACTTTGTCCTCTTTATCACGGAATTCCTCGAGATATCTAGGTCGTTCTAATTGCGATATATGCACCTCTCGACTGCACTTCAATGCCTCCTGGCTACCACTGCGGAGGTAGTCCCAGGCGGAGGTTGCAGGCTGCTAACAATGAGTTTTCCAGCGCGGTCCTTTTCGCCTTTGATCTTAGTTGTAGTATGCCTAAATCGAGAGGCGCTTCAATGCCTCCTGGCTACCACTTTGGAGGTAGTCTTAGGCGAGGTGATGTGGGCCTTCAATAATGAGGCTTCCAGCGCGGTCCTTTTCGCCTTTGATCTCAGTTGTAGTATGGCCCATATCTCGAAACCTGGTCTCCATTGCCTCGACAGCGTGCCACTCACAGATCTGATGGCCAGTAGACGGAAAGTATTTGGTCGTCGACGGATTAATCGGCGGCTGCTGGTCAGATAGAATCACCGCAGGCGCGGCAATCCCAGGTAGGTGTAACTTGAGGCTCTCCCAGAAGAAGGTATAGGAGGCATCGTTCTCGCCTGGACAGAACGAGAAGGCAACAGGAAACGTCTTGCCTGTGTCAAGCACGCCAACTGCAACGATCACGGGCATTCTCAGCCTGTTGGTATTGGGGTTTGCATCGATGACACAGAGAGATCCTGCAACGAATCGAGCTGTGGGCTTGAGAACCTCAGGGTGTGAGAACAAGATCTGAACACATTTCCTGCCAAATATTCTCCCAGTTTCGTCGACAGCCTCCTCAAGTCGCGTTTTATATATAAACCCCCGGCCCTCCAAGGCAACGATGAGGCGAGAGAGAGGGACAGAGAGAGAGGGACAGAGAGAGAGGGACAGAGAGAGAGGGACAGAGAGAGAGGGACAGAGAGAGAGGGACAGAGAGAGAGAGAGAGACACAGATCGTCTTCTGGTCACCCTTTGAGGCAGGCTTGAATCTGATCGAGTTATAGTACTTCTTGTGCTGTGAGAATAACACCGAGATCGTCCGAATCAAGGATCCTGCCCTCCAGCACGCGGTCACGCCGTACCCGGCAGCGGAAAAGGAAGGCCTGCAGCGCACCGACTGGTTCTTCAAGGAGTCGTCGAGCTACCGCGCGCAGCAGTCCACGAGGCCGCAGACACTGGAGTGGCAGAGAATGGCCAGGTATTCAATGGATCAAGTCGAGCCCCTGAGCCTTGATCGCCTGCAACTTCCACAAGGCGATCTCCGTGGCGAGAGAACATCAACGGACCGATCAAGGAGGTCAGTGATAGGGCGCCCCCCGCGGGACCTTGAGGGAGAAAAAGGATCTGATCGAGGAGAGAAGGGGAAGCCACCAAACAGTTTGCTGGGCTGAATGGGTCATGGCTCATGGGGGGGGAGCCCGAAGCGTGAACTAGCACACCAGGGATGAATTTGCCCATGATTTGCCCTCCACCATAACAGCCCAGCGCCCAGTCCAGGAGTCTAGCAGCCCAACACCCCCAGCCAAAGCCCAAATTACCGCTCAATGGGTGGCCAGAGTGTTCCAGAGACTTGACAGCAAGGATAAAGGTCCTTGATTCAGCCGTTCCGTTTCCCATACAAAGTGACTTCCAGGAGACTCGGCAGGACCATTGACAGTTAGTCCCACGAATGTGAGTAGAATCGCGCTTGCGAAAGGAGGTAATATCGCCGTTCTCGCCGTCATTCCCCAGTCGACACAGGCGGACGGAAAGGAGAATGACGGCGTAGATGAGGGAGGTGCCTGGCCTCTAAAACCCAGGCCAAACGGCAGAAAATCTGGGGCTGGTAGCATGAGGCCGAGTACGGGAGGACGCGTGAATGGCGGATACAGTTCGATGCCGCGAGTCCCGAATCCCTTGCAAAGCACTACCATGGGCAGTATCACATCTGTGCCCACCAAACCGAACATAAGGATGCAGATGCAGCGGATGCAGCATGACGAGATGGAGGAGAAGGTCAAGGAGAAGGGGTGCGGGTGCTGTGTTGTTGTGTGAGGGAAAGGCCAGTTCCGCGTGTTCTAGCCGCGGTAGACACAGAAGACGATAGAAAGAGAAGAAGAAAGATAGAGAAGACGGCCACAGAAGAAGACGGCCACAGAAGAAGACAGCCACAGAAGAAGACAGCCACAGAAGAAGACAGCCACAGAAGACAGACCCAGGGTCACCAGTGCTTCCCACCAGTGGTCCGCCTTTGACGATATCAAAGCCCTGGGAAAGCGAATAGGCCATGAGACGCTCCTGGCCACTCCTCAAAGGCATCAAAAGCCTCCCCTGACTCACAGGGTCGAGGAGGAAATTTCGCAGGGTAGGTAGGCATTAACAGCCTTGCTCTAGCGGTCCGCGGAGGTATTCAGGAAAACCTGGCCTGGCTGGCACGCTGGGTAGCGGACTCGGTAGCCCATTGAAACGTTTCTCAACACCAAGATCAGCTATAGAGAACAGGCAGCAGCGAGGTCTGCAGGCCTTGAAAGCGGCGACGAGGTTATACGACATCGATGCCGAAGTCGATGCCCTGAGCCGTTCCCGATTAACGACCTGCCTTGCAAACGCGTTTCGTTCCTTGAGCGTCTCGTGCCCCTGTAAGCACTCGCCAGGGTCGCTGACAGCCCCAGACACAATAGCCCCGGAGCTTGCGGCGCTCGATCATGTGTGTAAACATATGCATTGGTCTGTTTGTCTGCCCATGCCTCTTCTCAGGCCAGGGCTGCCTTCGTGCCGTCTGAAAACGTCAGAGAACTCGTGGCCTTGATGCAACCAAATCCCATCACGGGTGAGGAGAATCCCGAGATGATGTTGTCGGCTTGTCTTTGTATTGCCAATGTGATGGAGGCTTCACGAGGCTCGGTTGCCCAACGTGGTGTATGAGGCTTCAGGTGCAGCGCTTTGGCGTATTGCAGAATGTGCAGTTCTCGGGGAAATGAAGTCACTTTGGAATGATGAGTGACGTGCGTGAATGCCTGTCTAGATTGTCAGCAAATGCCGCGTCAGAATAGGATTCCATGGGGGAGGTGTGGATGTCAGGATCATCCTGATTGACGATGCCATTGTACTGAATGCCGCAAGACTTGAGGCCGTTCCGTCAAAGACCCGTGGTAGATCAATTGGTGACGGCATGGTTGCAGGAACTCGCGTGTTTGCCTGTATCTCGAATCCTACCTCATGTTTGTCAATAGGGGAATCCTGGCAGAGCCACAGCAAGGGGGTTTGGCCTGTCCCTGATGATTCGGGGTCAAGGAACTAATTGGCGTTATCGATCACTCGTAGGTCCAATGGTGCCACGGGGTGTGCATCATTGGAACTGTATAGTGTCTCCTGGGTGTGCATCATTATCATTTTCATTACATAGTGTTGTCCTGGGTGTACATCATGTCCATTACATAGGGTCTCCTGGGTATACACCATCCTCACTGCATAGCGGCCCCTGGGTGTGTACCACTCCCATTGTATAGTGTCTCCTGGGTGTACATCATTTTCATTGTAGTGTCTCCTGGGATAATTATACGGTATCGCCCCCAGCCGCCCCCCGGGTGCTTGCACGGTATCGCGTTTTGATGATATTTCTATTGTGAAATTCGGTGTTGGTTTCATCGATTCACGGTTGGGTGCGGGAATGGGAGCCCTTCGTGTGGGCGTTTCGCGGTCTGAATTATGACCTTCTCGTTTGGATCGAGTCGAGTTTCCTCAGGGTTGGGGAACGGAGGTGATAACCTCCTCGAAGGTAATAGGTATAATAACGGTAATGGGTAGGAGGTGATACCTCCTCGAAGGTAATCGAACGGTATCGGGTGTCGATGGAGGCGATAACCTCCTCGAAGTTGGTAGGAATGCTTGCACGGTATCGCGTTTTGATGATATTTCTCTTGTGAAATTGATGTTGATTTCATCGATTCACGGTCGAGGAAAGGAGGCGATAACCTCCCCTCGTTTGGATCGAGTCGAGGTCTTCCTTAGGGTTGAGGAGAGGAGGCGATAAGCTCCTCCTCTCCTCAAAGGTAATAGGTATGATGATATTTCTATTGTGAATTTTGATGTTGATTTCATCGATTCGCGGTCGGGTGCGGAAATGGGAGCCCTTCGTGTGGGCGTTTCGCTGTCTGAATTTTGACCTTCTCGTTTGGGTCGAGTCGAAGTCTTCCTCCGGGTTGAAGAATGAATGACCTCACTTGAGTCTTGCTTGATCTTCACAGATCCCCACTTGATCTCTACATCTTCGTGCTCGACGGTCGAGGTCATTCCTCAGGGTTGGGAATCTGGATCCCCAACCCTGAGGAATGACGATAAACGGACAGTTTTCTTGTCTAGAGGGTGGTGTAAAGGCTCCCAGAGGGGCCACCGGTAGGTGGTGTAAGAACATGGTGTAGTAACCAGCTGGTGGGTGTCAGCTACAGGAGGTGTAGCATCGAAAGTATCCAGTTGGTGGGGGAGTCTTCGGTAGGTGCAGCTGCAGAAGCTCCCAGCCTGCGATAAGTTGGAAAGGGCGTGCGCACTTGGCACATTCCAGGATCACGTAGGGGGGCCCGAGAGGGGGAGGTGCTTGGCCGGCCGGCCGTGATGGAGCGCTTTATTGTCGTCTAGCATTTGGCCGCTGAGGTTGACTGGCCCGTTGAATGTCTCTAAAAGAATAGAAGAATAGAATGATCTCGTCTTTTATAAGCATACAGTTAGATGAGAGACGACTGACGAAGGTCTGGCGGGTCCTTCAAGACGCTGAGGGGGTGGTGATCATGCCATATAATATGTGCCCGTTTGAGGACCTTCAGGTGCCCACTTGAGGGCCTTCCGGAGTAGCCGGATCTTGTCTGTTTGGTGCATTCCTGGTGGCCGTTCCACCGTAACGTCATCATCAATAATAACACTGGCGAGGACCGCGTTGACCGCGTCAAGCTGCAGGATCTCGACGCCGAATGATGCCGCCGCCAGGGCCATCCATACCCTGCATGTTGGGGTTTGGATTTGGAAAGAGTTCTGCAACTGGCTAGCCAGTCTAGATAATAAGGAGGATAATTCCGAGGAGACAGAGAGGAGGAACAACCTATCGTACGCTCCACTGTCAGGGGTCGTCATTGTCTCACTCCTCTCGCTGACCTCCCTCTTTCATACACGCTATCCATCCCTTACGTACGTTCCTCTTACACCTTGTTTCTCGTCCTTGCCTCCCCTTGCGTACGATGTCTCAGTTGTCAGGATTCTGTATCCTTTGCACCGTGGGCGTCTCGTCCGATCAGGAGGTGGCCTCTGGTATTAGTGTCGGTTCGCCAGAAGTAAGTCTTCTCCTGGGTTCAGCCCATCAGACTGGACACTTGAATAATCAGGGTGGCCGCGTAGTTGTCTCGCTCAGTGCTCTGTAGATCGCCGCGGATGAAGGTGCGCGTGCCTTTGACTTGTCTGGGTCCCCGTCCCTGTCGGGCTTGTGCTTGGACGCCCGTGGCAGTGGTAGTGGCCTTTTAGTAGTCTTGCATGGATCGACTTCTTTGAAGGTCCCTCGGCGCCTCAATTGGTCAAATTCCTCTTGTGATGGGCCTCGAATTGTCGTCCAAATGGATGCCTTTTGAGATCTTTCGAATGCTTTAGTTCAGGATGAAGGGTGTCTCGATGCAGGGGCAGGCTATTTGCTTGTGTGGCCGCAATTGTTGGTGATCGATCAATCATTTGTCCCTCTGCAATGGCCATAGAAAAGGCGGAATGGAAGCCATCCAATGAAGCACTTTCATGCTCGGTATTGCCGAGCACAAGCTGAGCCACTTTGACCTTGCGTTGACGTCTGGAACCCTCAGGCAAGATGTTGTCCTGGGAGTATCAGCAAAAGTTTCCTGGGCACGGGCTTGCAACTGGATTGTGCTGTGTCCTGCCGTGTGACCGAGTAGGATGTTCTGTTTTGTATGAGACCTGCACTCGACTTCCAAACTGCATAGATGAGCTGCAGCATATCCATTGTAGCCTCCACGCAAGAGGCTGTTTTGGGTCTCCATAGGTATGGCCCATGTTTGGGTCTTGTCCTCATCCATCCAGTGATGTTCAGGGGGCATTCTGGTTCAATGCCATCGAGCCATCGGAGATTCAGCCAACGGAGAATGAGCCAAGTGAAAATAAGCTAAGTGAGACTGAGCCAAGGCAGAATGAGTCACAACAGAATGAGCCAAGGAAGATCGAGCCAATCGAGAACGAGCCAGGAAGAATGGGCCAAGAGGAATGGGTCACAAGAGCATGGTCCAAGCGAGAATGAGCCAATGATGGAGATTGAGCCAGGAAGAATGAGTCACAAGAGAACGAGCCAAGAGGAATGAGCCAAGGAAGAATGAGCCATCGGGGATTGAGCCAACAGGGATTGAGCCAACAGGGATTGAGCCAACAGGGATTGAGCCAACAGGGATTGAGCCAACAGGGATTGAGCCAATGGAGAATGAACCAAGAGGAATGAGTCAAGAGAGAATGAGCCAAGATAGAATGAGCCAATGGAGAGTGAGCCAACGGAGAAGCTTCTTTGCGCAGTGGGAGGCCTGACATTTTCTGGTATCCGACGACAACAACATCCTTTGAAAGAGGTCCAGGTTCATATCCAGGCAGAGGCTGCGTCCTTGAGATGTCGAGCAAGGGCAGCAAAGCAAGACGCCATCCAGATCCAGGAACGATGTCGTTATCCGCACCCGATCCGGATCAGTGAAGCGATGGAAGCTGGATAACGACGAGAATGAGAACGAGGCGAGGCCTGACCTCCCTTGATCCGACTTCCCTCGACCGAACCTCCCTCGAACGAACCTCCCTCGAACGAACCTCCCTCGAACGAACCTCCCTCGA